TTCACATACATTTTCACCCGTGTACATAACTATCACAACTTTGAACTCCTTAAAGCAAGCTGTAAGCATATATGTGGCTGCAATGTGGTGGACTGTAACGCTGAGCTGCCACATATATGCATATGACTGGTGCCACTGTTTTGTGTAGGGAACACGCTTAATTGCACGGCTAGAGTACTATGACCACGATGTCATTAACAGCTTCCAGCCACTTAGCAACAATCAAGAGCCATTAGGACGGGTTTCCAATCATGTGATCACTGTATCAGCCATTTACAGTGATATCATGATTTATACACCCAGGAGATTTCCTTAAAGGGTTGTCGGGAGTCAATGGAAATGGGTTAACTAGTACTAGAATGTCCTTAAAGTGGTTGCAAACACTAAAGGTTTTTTTTACCTTAATTCATTAAAGTGTTACTAAAGTCAATTTAAAAAAAACAAAATTAAATAACAAATATGTTATACTCACCTGCCGTGTGCAGTGATATTACACCCTGAAAACCTACCTCTTCAGGGAAGCCTACCCCACCCCCTGCTAACTTGCCGACCTCCTCCACTCTTCCTACCACTCCATCCCCCACAGCTATCTCCTCCTGTGCCACCATCCCCTCCCTCCTAGATTGTAAGCTCGAAAGAGCAGGGCCCTTGATCCCCTCATGTTTTGCATTGTATTGGTATTGTTCTGTCACATGTTCTGTCCCCCTTTGTAATGTACAGCGCTGAGCGAACTATTGGCGCTTTATAAATACTGTATAATAATAATAATAATTACACAGAGCGACCCTGATCCTCCTCTTCTTGGGTCCCCCAGTGGTGATCTTGGCCCCTCCTCTTCTTCCTGTGCCCCATAGCAAGCCATTTGATATGGGGGCACAAGTGTGTCTGCTCACTCCTGAGCTCTGTGTCTATGGAGCCGCGTTCCATAGACACACACAGCAGAACTTAGCCCTACCCCCACTTCCTCCTCACTGCATTTGATTGACAGCAGCAGTCAATGGCTCCTGCTGCTGTTCGAGTCTCTGTGTAAAGAGGAAGAGAGCGGAGAAGAGAGAGCTGGGCACAGCACTGAACCTGTTTTCTCCTTTCTTCCCCTTCACACAGGGGATGGGGAGGACAGAGAAATAGAAAACCTTTTTACCTTTCGTGTCACTTTAATGTAAAAAACCTTGCACTGTCTGTACCCTCTACCCCTCCCTAACACTCTCTCAGTCCAGCACTGTTCTCAGCTGCAAGTCTTGCCCCCCAATTCCTCATTGCCGTTGGCTCCTGCTGTTGTGCCAGCTCAGGAGAGAGCCCGTATGTCTGCTCCCATAGCAAGCAGTTTGCTATGGGGTCAGACATAGAAGAGGAGGAGCCCAGAGTGCCCATCGGGGACTCCATTAGAGGAGGTTCGGGGCTGCTCTGTGCAATACCATTGCAGAGAGCAGGTAAGTATAACTTTTTTATTATTATAAATAAAAAAAGACTTTACAAACACTTTAAAAAAACACACACAGGATTTATATGAATTATGGCTGTTAATTAACATATTTAAATGAAAGTTTTTGTGCCTGTCGTTCAGCTTTAAAACATAATAATAATAATAATACCTGCTTGCTGGCTTGTCTCTTCTTGCCTGCTCTGGAATTATTGGCCTGGGTTTTCTCATCTGGTGATTGCTTCTAAAAACAAATAAAATCAATACCATCCAATGGATACCTGGCAGCAACGTATGTTATATTAAAACAGACATGTGAATGTGATTTGTCAACAATCCTGTGATGTTTCCAAAACACCTATATTTTGTTAAATACCCAAGCTGGTAAGCCTTCACACATAGGGGTTAATTTACTAAAGGCAAAAATACTGGGTTGATTTACTAAAGGCAAATAGACTGTGCACTTTGCAAATCAGTTGCTCTAGAGCAGTGGTTCTCAACCTGTGGGTCGTGACCCCTTTGGGGGTCGAACGACCCTTTCACAGGGGTTCCTTAAGACCATCAGAAAACACATATTTCCGATGTGTAAAGAGCAGCTACTGTGTAGAAAGCAGCTGCTGTGTTGAAAGCAGCTACTCTGTTAAAAGCAGCTACTGTGTTGAAAGCAGCAGTATTGGAGGTAAAACGACACTTCATGAATTATAATTACTGGGTAAATCATTTTATGGTTGGGGGTCACCACAACATGAGGAACTGTATTAAAGGGTCACGGCATTAGGAAGGTTGAGAACCACTGCTCTAGAGCTTAATAAATGTGCAGAAGCTCTGCTAACTTCCATTATCCAACCAGGTGCAAGCAAAAATGCTGTTTTTTATTTTCCTTGCACGTGACTGGGCATTCCTTGCAAAGTGGAGCTTTGTCTAACTTACTAAGTTCTGGAGCAACTGCACTTTGCAAAGTGCACAGTCTACTTGCTTTCATTAAATCAACCCCCCTGGGCACTGCAAGTGCAGTTGCTCTAGATCTTAGGGGAAGCTCTGCTGATTTCTATCATCCAATCACGTGCAATCAAAAATGCTTTTTTATTTTCCTTGCATGCAATTGGGTATTATTCTTTGCAAATTGAAGTTTACCTCATTTACGAAGCTCTGGAGCAACTGCACTTGCCGAGTGCACAGTATATTTGCCTTTATTAAATCAATCCCAGTGTGTAGCTAAAACTTAAATTCTGTCAGATACGTGAATATTTTTTTCAAAGTAAGTTTTTTAACTCATTCAGCATTTCCAGAGGAGACATTATAACAGTCTTGCCAAAAGGTATAGCTGTGTAATTACAGTTCCCAAGAAAGTTAGAATCTGACAGTAAATTATTCCTTCCCTACCTCTGTTTATCAAGTATGAAAGGTCATCTTGACTCCACCTGGGTGTGCATGCATTGTTGTGAAGAAGAGGAAGCAGTGAAAATGCCTTCTACATAATAAGACTTATTTTACTACAGATCAGATATGCCAAGCAGGAAACAAGGTCATGACAGTATGGGACACAATGGAAGAAATGCAAGGAGATCCAGGATGAAATAAAGACACTGGTGATTGTCTCAGGAAATTTTTATTCTCATGCAAAGGCTATTTAAAGTGGAAGTTTCACTGAAAGAAACAGCAAGCAGGCACACATTTATTCCAGAAGAAACATGCACTGCGTCTTTTGCAATAAAATGTACCTACCTACCTACTCACTGTGCATGTGCAGCTCTGCTTACAGTGCCGGACCAGTCCCTGAGAACCTGGATGCCTAGCTCCTGCACTTGCGCAGGCGTGCATTGAGAAAAATAAAATATATACAGTATAAAATAATGTATGAGTGAATACAAAGCTGTTTTAATTTTTGCCCTTCAATCCTCTGTGCCCGGCTGCAGTTCTTCTCTCCCCTTTTCCTGGTCTCACTGGAGACTCAGGCAGCAGTGAGAGCCATTAGCTCCTGCTGCTGTTAGTCAAATCTTGTGAGGAGGGAGCGAGGATGAGAAGCCCTGTGGGTGTTATGGATGCACATAGCCTGGCTCAGCACACGTGCCCCCATAGCACACAGCTTGCTATGGAGTCACATGCAGGACACAAGAGCAGCAGAGAGTGCCACCGGGGGGGGGGGGGGGGGGGACTCCAGATAATGGGCCGCTCTGCAATATGTAAGTATAGCATGTTCATTATTTTAACTAAAATATATCCTTTACAACTGCTGAAGACACAAAATATACCGTCAAAGGGATAAATAATAAAGTATTAGGGCTCATGTACACTGCAGCTGATAAACTGACGTTCAGGAGCTTTTTTGGATATTTTTCAGCAGCCCCTGAACTCTCCCTAATGTTCTCCTAGGTGTCCATGCACACATAGTCGTTTACAGGCAGTTGAGTTTACAGTCGTTTTTTTGAATGCACCAAACTTGCATTCAGGAGTAGATTTTACCAGCGTTTCAAACGCTTGTAAAGGCGTGTGTAAATGTGTGTAAACGCAGTTAACCGCGTTTAGAAGCGTTTTTTAACTGTTCCATGTCCAGATGCCGTCCAGAGCCTTTTTTCATCATCAGAAATGCATACAAAGCATTTTCCATGTATCCAATGGACCCGGTACACCAGCGCAGTCAGTTCCAGGTTTTGCGTAAAGGAAAAACTTGTAGAACGTGCCGCATTATGCTCATGATGGGATCCATAGTGAATACAACCAGAAAAGACAGGTCATCTCAACACATACTGCTCTCTGCTTCTGCTCTCTCTATTTGTCACAAAATGTCTTAAATAGCAATTTTTTTTACAGTTTTTCAGTGCATTTGGGAAGGTCTCCTGAGGTTATCTTTTAAAAACGCTTCTAAACGCAAATGCACATAAACGCGGTATGCAAACGCGGCTAAACTAACGTTTTTTTAACCTACGTTTTCCAGCAGTCAGTTTTCCATCGTTCAGAAGAGTTTTCCAAACGCCCCGTGTACATGAGCCCTAAGGGTGATGAACACTATCTTGGCATAAATAATGGAGAAGACAGTATAATGTAAAGAATGCCAACCAATGAAAGCTTCACTGCCTGCTTACAAAATGCCCAAAAACATGTGAAACCTGTACCACAAAAAATGTACAATGCATAACATGAATTTACCAAACACGATGTCCTAATTTCTAGTAATTACAAATACTTAGAAATACTTTGCATTGCTAATGTCCTAATACAGCTGACTATACAAACCTTTGCTGAAATGATCCGTCCACTTCTGGTTCTGCGCTCACTAGTAATAGAGCTAGTTTTTGCAGGCTAGAACAAAAAAATTACTTACTTCAGAGTATATACAATTAACAATGATAATGAAATATATCTTGATTGTTCATTGATTTATATTTTAGGTAAAATGGACCTTTTTGTTTTTTATCCGGGGGGGGGGGAAATACAGATTAAATACTGAAGCATCCAGTGCATTTAGCTGCATCTATTATAATCATACATCCAGCAGCATTTACCCCTGGTTCACATATATGTGGGTGTGCAGGCCGTGTTTAGTGCAGGCACTAGAGCACATTCATTTGGCTCTAGTGACACGCAGGGAAGAAGTCCCTGCACGTCTTCTGAAAACGCAGCCCGCACGGGAACCTCAGTTCACAGTGCGGTTGCGTTTTCCAGTGTGGGCGGCGTGCCATTAGAACTAATGGCACCAGCCCACGGGTCCGCATTCCTCTGTGCGGGTGGTGCGGCTGCACGGATTTTCGTGTGGATCTGCAGCCGCACCACCCGCACAGATGTGAACCTAGCCTTACAGAGTCTCTTTAACCACTTGCCTTCCTGAGGATTTACCCCCCTTCCTAACTAGGCCTTTTTTTGCTATTCAGCGCTGCACTATTTCAACTGATAATTGCGCGGTCATGCAATTCTGTACCCAAACAAAATTTACATCCTTTTTTTCACACAAATAGAGCTTTCTTTCGGTTATATTTGATCACCTGTGTGCTTTTTTATTTTTTGCGCTATAAACAAAAAAAGATTGAAAATTTTGAAAAAAAAACTAGATTTTTTTACTTTCAGCTATAAAAAATATATCATAAACTCAAAGTTAGTCATAAATTTAGGCCAAAATGTATTCTGCTCCATTTTTTGGTATAAAAAAATCCCAATAAGTGTATATTGATTGCTTTGTGTGAAAGTTCTAGCGTCTACAAACTATGGTATAGATACTGCAATTTACGCCATTTTTTGCTATACAGCGCTGCGCTAGTTTAATTGACAATTGTGCAGTCATGCAATGCTGTATATACATGAAATGTGTGTACTTTTTTTCACACAAACAGAGCTTTCTTTCGGTGGTATTTGATTACCTGTGCACTGTTTATTTTTTGTGCTATAAACGAAAATTTTGAAAAAAAAAATATATTTTCTCATTTCTGTCATAAAAAATATCCAAAAACTCAAATTTCGTCATAAATTTAGGCAAAAATTTATTCTGCTACATGTTTTTGGTTAAAAAAAATCCCAATAAGTGTATATTGATTGCTTCGTGTGAAAGTTATAGCGTCTACAAACTATGGTATAGGTCAGCGTTTCTCAACCTTTTTTCAGTCAAGGCACCCTTTAAAATTATGGATAGTCCCGAGGCACCCCATTCTACAATGTGAAAAACGATTCCAATAGTTTTATATAACACAGCAACATCCACACATGGAGGACATCCAACATTAGAGGGGATTTGTTCTTTCAAAGCAAATACACTTCTGCACACTGGTACTGACTAGTATTCCAATGTTTCTCTTCTCCCTCAGTTTTTCTCCATCACTGAGCTAATGTGACCCCAGCACTGACGGATAGAGGCAGGGGAGGGTCAAACTAGGATGCTGTAAAGGCAGCTGACATCCTCCTTATGAACTGATGATGTCATTGGTTGTCAGGACGCCTGCGGCTAGAAGGTCGTGGTGCACAATGAAAACCTGTGACTTTGTATAACTAAAAGGCGGGCTTGTTGCACCTGCTGGCTTGTATACAAGTTTGGGGCAATTTTTAGACATTTTGCCAAAGCACCCCTGAAGAAACCTCAAGGCACCCCAGGACGCCTGTGCACCTTGGTTGAGAAAGGCTGGTATAGATAATGGAGTTTACACAGCTTTTACTTTCTGACTGCCCATCACATTTCTTTAGGTGCTAAAATACCAGGACAGTACAAACACCCCCAAATGACACCTTTTCAGAAAGTAGACATCCTAAGCTATCTGCTGAGAGGCATATTGAGTCCATGGAAGATTTATTTTTTTCCCACAAGTTTTTGGACATCAATCACGGGACCCGGTGATTGACAGCCGCAACCTCAAATGGTGGTGCAGGTATGGCACGCGCGCCCCCTACCCATAGATGCATAATCACGTATATATATGTGATTTTGCGCACCTGTGCCACCCTGTAGCAGCATTTCTGATATAGGGCGATCGGGGAAAAGGTTAAAGTCTCCTGACTCACTTATACTCCTCTTCACAGCACTTCCCAGCCACTCCTTCCTTCATCGCAGCTTCATTAGATTACCCAGTAATCTACCCCTTTGTGGGATCTTGCATAGATGTAGTTGCAGACAGGTTGTCAACAGTGTGGGTTTTGCTACAATAGTAAGGTATAGTAGCTGGCTTGCCCAGGCTGGTGATAGCGTTAACTTCCACGACCTCAGTTCCTAGGCGTTTTGGTCTTGGGCCAGCCTTTAACATCGTGTGATACATAAAGAGGGGAAAGGTCCGGTTCGGTGGTTGGCTGGTGTGAGAGCTTGAGAGCGAGAGTCAAGGAGCCAAGGAGTTGGAGAACCAGCATGTGACCCTACGAGATTCCAGGGTTCCAGTAGACACTACCAGCAGTTGGAAATCACCAATCATGGACTAACACCTGTAAAAGTATGCCTGGGCAGCGAGCTCCGTTAGTTAGTTTAGGTCTGGACGTTGTTACGCCTGTCCTTTGTTCTGCCATGAACAGTTCAGTAAAAGTTATCAAACTGTCTCAAGCATGGTGTGAAGTAGATCAAAGGGGTGCATGGTGGTTTCTGGCTTATGCAAGAACTCAGCAAAGCACATGTGGGGTAAGAAGCAAAGCCCCTACTAAAGGGTTTAACTCGGCAAAACAAGTGGAGGAGGAATGCAGTTGCTATGGGTAACCAGGGTTGGCATACTGGCTTCCTTCTTAGTGGTTGGTTCACCAAGGCAACTGGTACAAGAGAGCAGCAAGAGTTCACTACGTGCACCCCCCATTCTGTTACTGGGAGCAAGGTGGCAGAGGAACGCTGTACGGGTGGAGGGGGCCTAGGCTCAGCGCTGTCCCGCCTAAATGAAAACACTTGGCAGCAGGGTATGTAGTGATACGGGACAGCACTTTCACAGAGGAACTGTATATTCAACTACTGCGCACAGTGAATGGCTCATTGCTAAGTCGGGGTATTTCCACAATGTTTGACTTTCAAATGAACGCAGCCCCACCTGATCCGGGTCATTGATGACAATGAACACAAGAAAGGTACCACAAATGCCTCTTTAGCTTGCAAGTGATGTCCAGCTCATACAGCTTCCTCTAATGGTGTGGTAATGAAGCTGCACTGCTCCTGACTTCAGATCAGAGTTACCAACCCTCACCTAGGCTGTGCCTGCTCCTACTACTGGGACTTTAGACTGTAATATAGGAGCCTTTTGTAATTCAAAAGGTCAGACCGCACTGAACTGACATTTCAGCTATGGGTGCAGTCTAAATCAAACATCAGTTCCTTGAAATGGTCCTAAAGCAATCCTATGCATTATGGTAGAAAAATTACCCACTACCTGTTTACACCCCCCACTGTCCCTAAATACTCACCTGCCTCCCTTCACCAATCCAACACTGTCCACGACTGCATCACTGCTCTGAACTAAAGATCAGAGTTCATAGAAGAGGCCCACAGAACCTTCAAGATTTGAAGACTGTTTGTGTGGAAGCACGGGCCAAAATCACACCTGAGCAATGCATGCAACTAATTTCTCCATACAAGAGGCGTCTTGAAGCTGTCATTGCCAACAAAGGATTTTGTACGAAGTTTAAATAAATTTCAGTTAGCGTGTTCAATACTTTTTCCCTGTCTCATTCCATTTTATTACACATAACTTAATTTATGAACTTATTTGTTTTGGTTTTTTTTGGTATGTATAGATTGCATGGGTTGTTACAGATATGTGGCGAAAATTTCATGTCAATAGCACCTTTAGCAATGTATTTACCTAGAAAAATGGTGATGTGTTCAATACTTAGTTTGCCCGCTGTATGTGCTGTATCTTAGTGCAGGCTTCTGGGAAAATCAGTGAGCCAATCACACAAGCAGGAAATGAAAAGTTTTGGGGGGACGTTCAGTACATCATCTTTGTACAGAACACCTCCAGGTTGCCATATTGCATTTTACAGGAAATTACAGAGCTGCAGATTGAGAAGGAAAGCTAATTTTTTAATAACGTTACATTACAATATGGCTTGTGTCGCAATTGTATTTATTTGCAAAATTTATTTTCCCATAAAGGTGGAGTTACCCTTTAATTATGACTTGTCATCTGATTAGGCATCTTGTGCCTTCAGTATCTTTGCCCCGCTCCCTAAAAATCTGCAAACACCTATTCATTTACCAGCCAGCCTCTCCTTGTCATAAGTACACATAAATACAACATGTTTTATAGAGCAGAAAATATTGTCAGACAGTACCTGCAAGGGCTGATTAATTCTATGATCAGTTTTCATCATTTCATCCTCCTGAGAACCGAGACTGAGATCTGAAAATAGGATCAGCAATGTTAAACATCAAAATAACATCTGCTAGGAGACTCACTGGCTTGTGTTTTTCTGTTTAAGAATAGAAAAATTGACAACTATTACCAAAAAGGAAAGGCCAGGGTTTGAATATGTAGAAGTCATTTACAAGAGGAAACTGACACACTATAATTTTTCTGCTATGTCAATAAATAGGTGCAAAAGCATTTTAATTGATAAAGCCGGCTATACAGTAGTAGAAATTCATTTGACAAATTTGGTTGTAAGAACGTTTGTTTTTCTAATCATTAGTGGGTCAAATTGATGTTCATTTTCAACCAACGAGAAAATTCGAAGGAGCGGGATGGAAAATGTTTTTCAAATGTACAGTATGAACTCCTAACAGTGTATGTGTTTTTCAATCAGTAAAGACCATTCATTCCATTTCGTTTTCATTTCATTTTAAAATGAACGCCATTCGAATGCAATTAGAATGTTCGTACAAATGTTCGTTAGAAATTCTACTAGTGTATACCCAGCTTAGGTTTTCACTGATTTATATTTTTATTGAACTCACTGTAAAATCCTTTTCTTGGAGTCCACTGAGGAATACAGGCAACTCTAAGGGTTACACTACAGCACGGGATAACCCCACCTAGAACCATCATACCTCAGTTTTGTAGCTAAGTAAAACCAAAAACATGAAAATAAACATAGATGGGTGGGACCTGTATGTAGGCAGGTGCAGTCTGTTTTTGCCACTGTAGGTGGCATTCAACCAGAGCAGTACTGCAGCTAGAGAGGAAGTCCAGAGAAACCTTGTTTCTCTATGGTTTCCTCTGTCCCCTGGGGCAGCATTCCAGTTGGCTGCACTGCATCCAGGTGACCCTGATGACCATCTTGGGTCAAGCAAAGTCTCTTTAAGTCCCTGCCCCTAGGTTTAGGAGTGCATTTGCGAAGTGGCTAGTGTAGGGAGAGATCACCCGCCTGCCGGGGACAACACTAGCGTGGGAAAGGTTCCAGAAGAGTAGGGAAAGCGTAGGCCCT